GGGTTCAGCACCTCATTTCCGGCCGTCATGCCCACTTGAGGAAAGTGAAGCGGACGGCCTCGGCCTGCCCGAAGCCCTCCATCATGGCATTCCGCTTCCGGTGATCGGGGTCTGGATGCCATCGGCTGCGCCGAAGGCCGAACCAGGAGCTCTCCTCGGGTTCTGGGCGGTTGCGCTGCGCGCTGTGCAGGCGCAGCCTGAACCTCCGGCCGTCCCAGCTGCTGGGAGTCGTGCCGTCGGGCCTGGGAGCCCCCTGCTCTCCGTGTTGATGATGGGACCCGACCCCTTTCCCACGGGCCAAGGTGGCACTGGATTCCTTCGGCGCCATGGCACACGGATCCCGAAAGCCTGGGACCCTAAGGAGATTTAAATCGAACCCCATATTTCGGAATAAGGGGGATGTGCTGTTGAGGCTGGCAACATCCATGAGCTGGGGACTTCGGCAACAAGGGGAAAATATCAGGGTCTAAGGCTGAGGATTTCAGCACTTAGGGCTAAGGCTTACGGTCTCAGCACAGCAACGTGGGGCACTCAGATGAAATGATCAGCATGCTAGCAGTGTAGAGCTGGTGATGGCCATCGCATCAAAACTGACAACATGCTGGAACATTCTGTATCGAAGCAAGCAAAACAGCCCAGGCTGCAAGCACAAAACGAAAAAGCCACAGAAGCCAGCGGACGAGCATGCAATTCACTGTTTCAACCTCTCTTTGCTTGCAGATTTGACGGCTGAAGCGTCGTGTAGCAGCTCACTACTGCAGCTTGAGACTTCAAGAGGTAGGATCTACAGCATCGCTGGCATGCTCAGTTGCACTGGCTGCTGACAAGCACTCTTGCTAGTAAACGAATCTATGAAGGTCACGTGATGTTCAGCGTCGTCATTTCGTCATGACTGAAATCCACCAGAACTGAAGAGTTCTCTCGGCATTTTCAGGTTCAGATAAGTAGGCAATCACTTGGCATCGCTAAGTCTAACTTTCCCTGAAGCCAAACAAGCTTATGGGATAACTGGACATTCCTGCTCAAAAGCAAGACTCCTGGGTTGGGCTGGATGCATCCGATCCAGGCTTGAAGAAAGGTGCTGTAGATGCAGGCAGAAGCTACGTATGACAGCACCCACGCCATGAACTTGTTGCAAGTTACACCTTGCATTCCTGTGCAACATGCTTTGGAGAAGACCCTAAAAGCTAAAGCCGAATCTATCCAAGAAGCCATCCTATCCCTAAGATCTTTCTAAACCCTTTCGAATCTTGCAGATCAAGGTACCGCTGCTGTGACATTTTCTCTTGCCTCAGAGACAGTGAATGGTGAAGACGGGAAGGGGATGACCGTGACTGTCTCCGAACATCCACGTTGCAAAGCATGGGCTGTTTGATGACCTTTTCGTCATTGTCATAGGGCAGAACTTGAAGCTTGGGGGAGCTTCTAGGTTGCAAGCGTTTTTTTATGAAACAGCAGGCTCTGTATGTCACCATATGTATGGCCGAGTGGGGATTTCTGGCGTACCGAGAGAAGCAGAACGAGTTGCAGATCAGAATATGAGGCTTAGCGGGGATTCGTAAGTCTTATTTTCCAAACAAAAATGTTTCAAATGAAGAAACACACTTGACCTACAAGACTTCTATTTCAAGGCCCTGTCTGATCCCACATGTCCCATGCACAGAACTACAGCTCACGATGCACAGACTGCACTGACATGCACCCTCACACTCTGCTACACTTGAAGAACACGCACCGATGTCTTTTCCCAGGAAGGGGATTTGCCAAGTCTGCTTCCATCTCAGATCTGTCCTTTGCAGGCATGTGAGAAACGAGATCTCCCCCCTGCCACGCTCACCGTTCCGCCTAGGTAAGCGTCCTATCAATCAGAAAGTTCAATACGGAAAACAGTGCCAGCACCGGCATGCAATGGCAGCTCGCTGAGGGCCATGCTATGTGGTGCGTGTCTGCCCTGCAGCTCCAATTAGAAGCTTGGGGTACACAAGTCATGACCAGTACGGTGCCACATATCAGCAGCAACCGTCAACTTGACGTCGTCGACTGTTCCTGTTGTTGCAAGTTGACAAAACACGACGTCTACAAGCGGGACCTTGGTGCCCACTACCACAAGCCATCGTACTTCAGTTTAACGGTTTACGCTTTCATCCAGGCCCGCCGTCTCATTGTCCCTTTTCATGTCTAGAATACAAACAAAGCTGGCGGTGCAGAGCACCCCAAATAGGTGTGGGCGGGTGGGAAGAGAGATTGAGAGACGAAAGGACATCTACTTTGAGAGCCAAACTGTACAAGCCAGCATGTGAAAAAGAAGTCGTGACTACAAAGAAGCAACCGCTAGCGCAGAGGCCCTTATTGCAAGACAACTTAACGCACGGCCAGCATGGTGAGACCAATGCAAACAAGAACCTACCTGCACCAATTACTCAGCAGCCCGTCACCCAAAGCAATGCTGCGCCACGTCTGGTACAGACATTAAGCGAAAGTATGGGTAGGCCGTAAGGCAAGGAACCTCCGTCACCTAAACTGCTCAACGCGTCCGTAGAGACAGTCCCCACACAAGCGCCAAGGCCGTAGCAATAGCACTCAGGACTCCATTGTAGGTTGGCAAGAAAATTGCAAGCACACTAAGCACAAAGCACACAGAGTGCCAGAAGAGGCGCCCCCTTCCCCCCCGACGAGCGGGGGCAGACAAGGGGCTGGTGTGGCTCCACTATGCTGCCGTCTGCACTGTGTGAGTCCGGGCGTCCTCACGTAGCTAAGGCCATAGGGCAGGCCTGGAGCGCTGCTTGCAAGAGGCCATATTCTTACAGCCCCGCGCAGCGGCCGATTTTTGAGACGGCGCAAGAGCCCCAAAGGCTGCTGGCTGGCACTTGGGCAGTGTGCTTCCCAGGTACCGGGAGCCTATCGGCTTGGCGTGCTTAGCCTGGTGCAGTTTAAGGCCCACAAGGCTGCTTAACGGTCTGCAGCCAACCGCGCGTCAAGTGTGAGAGTCAAGGGGCCTTAGAACTCGGAGCCCCGCGCAGCGGCCGATTTTTTGAGAGCACTTCAAGCAGGTTCACCCCGTGACTACACCTGATGCGGGACCCACAGCAAAGTGCTAGGCCTAGTCACTTCTGGACCTGCTGGGACAGGTCGAAGCAGCAGTTCCTCACATCCCTTCTGGGCCTTCTGGCGAAGGTTCCGGCAGCCGTTTGCAGGGCTTAATCACTTCTGGGCCTTCTGGAGAAGTTTTAGGCAGCAGTTTGAGAAGCCTACTCACTGCTGGGCCTTCCGGAGAAGTTTTAGGCAGCAGTTTGAGAGGCCTAATCACTCTGAGCCCTCCAGGGAAGGTTGAGGCAACAGTTTGAGAAACCTAATCACTTCTGGGCCTTCAGGCAACTGTTGGGACAGCAGTTTGAGAGGCCTAATCATTTCTGGGCCTTCTGAAAATCTTGAGGCATCAGTTTGAGAGGTCTACCCACTGCTTCTGCTTGCCACAGCAGCGCAAGAGGGCGGGCGCCCTCCTGGCCGGGCAGTGAATCGCAGGCAAGGTGCCCAAGATGCCTGTCAATAGATGCGGCGTCCATTGCTTGGCATCCAGAAACTTAAAGATACAGTGGTCCCTCAACTGCCCCGCGCAGCGGCCGATTTTTGCGACTGCAAACCTGTTACAGAATGGGCAGTTTGCGCAAGACGATACACATCTCTGCTGCTCTCAGGTCCTGTGAGAGCCGATAGGCTCGTGATATATCTCCGCCTTGCTCTCAGGTCCCGCAGGTCAATAAGCTTCAGGCTCGAGATCTCTCTCCCTGCTGCTCCCGGGTCCGGAGAGTCCATAGGCTTCAGGTTTGCGATTTATCTGCATGCTGCTCGCACATCTCAGCTGCTCTCAGGTCCTGTGAGAGCCGATAGGCTCGTGATATCTCTCCGCCTTGCTCGCAGGTCCCGTAGGTCAATAAGCTTCAGGCTCGAGATCTCTCTCCCTGCTGCTCCCGGGTCCGGAGAGTCCATAGGCTTCAGGTTTGCGATTTATCTGCGTGCTGCTCACACATCTCAGCTGCTCTCAGGTCCTGTGAGAGCCGATAGGCTCGTGATATCTCTCCGCCTTGCTCGCAGGTCCCGTAGGTCAATAAGCTTCAGGCACGAGATCTCTCTCCCTGCTGCTCCCGGGTCCGGAGAGCCCATAGGCTTTAGGTTTGCGATTTACCTGCGTGCTGCTCCCAGGTCGCGTAGGCCCATAGGCTTCAGGTTCGCGCTTTTACTTCATGCCGGGTCCTGAAACCCGATAGGCTTCAGGTTCGCGATTTCCCTCCCTGCTGCTCCCAAGTCCCGAGGGACCACAAGCTTCGGGCGCACGACTTAACCTCCTCTTAACCTCCTCTGGGCCTTCTGGTAGGGCTGAAGCAGCAGATTCTGTCATCCCTTCTGGGCCTTCTGGCGAAGGTTCCTGCAACCGTTTGCGAGTCCTAATCACATCTGGGCCTTCTGAAGAAGTTTTAGGCAGCAGTTTGAGAGGCCTACTCACTGCTGGGCCTTCCGGAGAAGTTTTAGGCAGCCTAATCACTCTGAGCCCTCCAGGGAAGGTTGAGGCAACAGTTTGAGAAACCTAATCACTTCTGGGCCTTCAGGCAACTGTTGGGACAGCAGTTTGAGAGCCTAATCATTTCTGGGCCTTCTGAAAAGCTTGAGGCATCAGTTTGAGAGGTCTACCCACTGCTTCTGCTTGCCACAGCGCAGGAGGGCGGGCGCCCTCCTGGCCGGGCAGTGAATCGCAGGCAAGGTACCCAAGATGCCTGTCAATAGATGCGGCGTCCATTGCTTGGCATCCAGAAACTTAAAGATACTGTGGTCCCTCAACTGCCCCGCGCAGGGAGGGAAATGGCACCTCGAACCTGTGCATGTGCGGGCACCTGGTGACGAGGCTCGTACTAGCTAGGGGGCGCGGCAATTGCGCACTCCACTGTTGCAAAGAGTTGATACGCTGCACGGGCGGGAGAGGCAGGCTTACTGCAGGGTGTAGGGCAGTTATTCGCATCAACAGGCAAAGGGCTGGTGTAAGCCGCACAGTGAGCAGCACATCCCTCACGCATGCAGGCTGGTATAGCCACACAGCAAGCAGCACAGCAACCGCACGCGAACTGGATGC